TAAGAAAAAGAAAATGGTCGACGTCAAGCTTACGAAGTTTCATATCTGTAAATCCCCCATGTCAAAGGTTAGTGTTATGTTGAGTTGTGTTACGAATACGAGCTTGAATTCTCAGATCTCTAGACTATATAAACCCACTAGACTAGGCGGCAGGCCTAAACCGACCAGGCTCTCCGACTCTTACAAGTTACACGGCCTCTCGCCAACGTAGTGTTAAGCGAGAAGGGAACTTGTGACTGTGGCTATCACTAGGCCTTATCAGTATCAGTAGGCCTATCACTTTATCAGTATCACTGGCCATCAGGCATCAGTATCGCAGATGGGGTCGTTGTCGTATCAGGTACTACAGAGTACAGGGCCCAAGGATAGAGAACATGGGTCCCAATAAAACCAATGTGCCTAACCCTAACCCTAATTCTAACCCTAACCCTAACCCTAATCCTAACCCTAATTATAACCCTAACCTATTATATTGATATAATATTATATTTATATTGATGTAAATGATATTGGTTTTATTGGGACCCATGTTCTCTATCCTTGAACCGAGTACAGTACAGATATGTACCCGAGGTAGTTTTAGGTTGTTTAGTATTATGTTTATATTTTGGCCGTGGCTACGCGACCGGTTCCGGACGGGGAGCCGCTAGGCTACGCGTCCGGACATCCATCTCACACAGTGATCTTGCGACACGCACACTCATGATTGCGCAACGGGACGCTCCGCTGATTGTCGAGTGTATGTGTGTGTGTGTGTGAGAGAGAGAGAGAGGGAATGCGTATGTGTGTGTATGCGTGAGAGAGAGGGAATGTGTGTGTGTGTGTGTGTGGGTGTGCGTGCGTGCGTGCGTGTGTGTACACTACAGACAGTCGACAGTTGAACGTGCATACACTAGCTATTATAAAAAGCTGCGTTTGATAGCTAGAGTAGATGCATGCAGTAACATCAGTGAAATTTCTGAACTCTCACGATGTAAACAAACTCAAGTCTATGAAAATATGTGTTGCGTGCAATCTTCCGATCTGCTCAATCTACGAATCTGCCGACTGTGTGGCATCAGCATCATTGAACTCTCACCTAAAACCCACGATGGTAAACCTGCTTGCAAAACCGGGCCTGCGCAATCTCATCGAACTAGCAATTAACACAACCCCAGCTGATAAACCTGTCTGCAAAATCGGGATCCACTTACTGCTAATATCTATTGCAATAATAACACTATAGCCAATGTAAAATCCGTTGATTGTGCAGATCGGCAGATTACACGCAACACGTGTTTTTTTTTAACTTTATTTTAAACTCAATTTTCTCGTAATTAAGGTTTTATCGGTTCATGAATTCAAGAAATCATATCTTCGGTTCTATTTGTGGTAGAGAGTTACTTTATGGCTTGTTTGAAAGCGGAGAGTCTAAGGAACCAGTTTATGGAATAATCTCAACATCCAGAAATTGACCCCTGAGCCTAAAACTCCCAGCACGGGTCACATATAGTGTAGTACTAGTGTGCGCGGCTTGCGTGCGATGTACTTGTGCCTTGCAGAGGAGCATTTGAACAGCATTTACAGAAAATTATCGGTAATAATAGGCGAAAGACAGTAGAGAAACCGTTAAAACATGATTAAGACTGGTAGTAAATACATTTCGTGTTAATTTGCCATCTTCTCATTATTGAAACGTTCCGAGTGCCGGTGGCTGTTGCTGTGCTGGGCACAATTCTGGTTTGGGTCCCCCAGCAGCAGCAGCACTTTGAACTGCCAAAATATAAGGTTGCAATTTTTATACTTGCAAAGTTATACTTTTTATATAATTTATACATCTCTGATACAATGTTTACAATCAGATCCATTGGTGAAATTCAAGGAAATTCATTGGTGAATTCAGTCACCATTAGGATTATGCCAACATCAAATTTATCATCCATATAATGACATCAATAATTCGTTGCAGGTTGATAACATTAACACACTCATTGACCATGAGATTCGCATGCGGGACGGTACCACCAAGCTGCTGGCTGCCGGCCACAACTTCCAGCAAATATTGGAGGGCAGTAAGGACTTGGTCACAAGCAACGCGCGCATGCTGGCATACATGACTGAGCTACAGAGGTGCAAGACCAGCGAAGTGCTCAGCAGACTCGATCTAAAGAACAAGTGAGGATCATTCTACTAGAGTGTAACAAAACTGCCCGCGTGGTTATCTATAGCATACGAGTTTAGATAGGCCATGTACTTTATATTACTCCATATATGCTAAAAACTCTTAGATAGTCAATCAAAAAGGCAATGTTATGCACCTTTCTTTTCAATCATACATCCATTTCCATTCACCTTGTAAATCATTGGAGAAGGAACCAAATGTTCATTCCTTCACATGTCAGTAGATATAATTAGTTTTAAATGATCGAAGTTCCATTAAGTTTAGCACATATCTCATGAAAGCTTGACATTGTATTCCCCCCTGCCATCCTCTTGGCAGAGGCAGGTTTTGCATACTCAAAATAAGGCAAGTACCCATCACTTTACAATCCATGTTTTAAGCATTTGTCTCGCAGGATCAAGGTAGCTGTACCGCCCAAGCAAATTATATTATACATCACAATAACTGCTTTTTAACATTTACCTCAGAAATGTGAACATAAGGTAACTTAGGTTTATGAGGCGAGAAAATGGGTGATGGAGCTCACACTAGTGATGTTAGGGGCCTACTGACTCAGTTTTTTCAAAACCATTTTCATGCACTGTGCATCATTCAATGCTGATCCAATGTGCACACCGGTGTGTGATTCGTCCAGCAATCTGGTTTGCACTTTTCAGCATATAGTTGTGACGCTGCCATTCGTTAAGCTGTAAGGGTTAGACTTAGAGACGAATTTTTGGTCATAATTTTTCTACCCATTTTAGTTGATAGTTTGCAGCCATGGGCAGCTATGTATTAGTTGATTGTGATGTATTTCACCTCCCAAACAATTCAAAATTCCCGCTTTAGTCAATTCTTAACACAGGCGTTCAATGATGGGAAATTTATAAAAGTGCTGATATCTCGGTTGTTAAAAATGTTAAAGTAGGTGATTTTTCAAGCGCTATTTCTCGAAACTCGCAACTCCGATTCCAAAATTTCTTGTAACGTTTCAATGCTAACATATCAAAGGAAAAAACGGTCCCTGGAATTTTTTTTTAATATTATATTTTATGAGTTATGCCTCTGTGTTTACGAAATTGTTGGGTTTAGAAATTCACTACAAATTTTTGTACATCTTTTCAACTTATTTCCTGAATTAAAGCATTTAACAAAATTCCAGGGATGCTTTTTTAGTTCATATTATGAACAACTTGTCTTATGGTTAAAAGTTTAGGTCCCAACTCTTTGCTGTTTCTGAGAAATAGCAATAAAAGCATGGTTTTGTATAAATTCACAATTTTTTGTGTCAATTAATTAGCGATGAATTAAAAAAAAAATGTTGAGAGCGTAGAGAGACATCTCTCGTATGTAATGGATATGAGATTGATTGAATTTGATGAGTAGTTATGTTGCAATGCCCTTTACAGTGTTACCGGTCCGTAACCCTTACAGTATCCTTAATTCTGAAATGAAATGATTGTCACGCAACTCTGGCAAATACGAGATCGATTAGTGCAACTATTTTGCATGTATTAGGTCAGATACAATTTTGTCTTTGGTCTCATTGTATAGTGCAGGAATGACTTTGTCAGAGAAGTGCTTTCTTGTAGGTAATAAATAGCTGCAGGGGTTAATAATGACAAAGGAGTTTGACACATAGTCGGTACTGATTTCACTACATTTTGTCGTATGAGAATTTGCCACTTGGCAACGCCACACAACGGTAAATAACGTGAAAACCATGTGCAAAAGTACGATTTTTTAAGCTACGCGGTTTGTAATACTACCGGAAGCTAGAATAAGGACCAGTGAACATAAGAAGCTCATGTTTGTATACATTTTTATTTTTATTCACATCGAACTCGTACGACAAAATGTAGTGAAATCAGTACCGAATACGTGTCAAACTTTTTTGTCATTATTAACCCCTGATAGCATGAATCTAAAACATCTATCAACTCAAACTCTTTATCATGAACTATCGAGAGAGGTTTCATACCAGTGGTTATAAAACTACTATTAAAGTCATATTTCTTTGGTTTTTAGATGAATCTACACTACTAAATGTCAGTAAGTTATTGTGAGTACAGTCAATACTGATATGTGTATCATGAATTGTCAAATACTTTTATTAGCAAGGTTTGTATTGCGATACATTGATATATCGATGAACTACCCTACCCCTACCCTAATAATAGTTTTGAAGCCCTTTGAATTTCCAATCCATATATTCCAATGTTCTGAAAGTGTTTTCCATTTTACTGATGCATTTATCACATCTCATGTATAATATTTCTGACTCTTTTTTACCTCTTGTCAGATCTAGCAGTGGCAAAAAGAAGATGAACCCATGCAAAGGGAAACTGGCACTTTCAGGTATAACTAACTATTCATAGTGATCAGATCGTTATTTATGCTATCAGTCACAATATTGTATATGTCGGTACGTAGTATTTCAGTAAACCACTAATGTTTTTACGGATCATCTTCTAGGTATCAGAATACCGCTGCAGTGGAAGGAAGCTGATCATTTCAAGAAAAACCCAGGTGTGTTGTTGTTCCTTAATTGTCAGTGTGACACCGTAAGTATTCACTTCGTGCTGTGTGTGCTTTATATAAATACGAGTATGAATACGTGCATTCGTGCACACTCCATACTCTACTCCACTACCATCCTGATATAACACTTAAAATCACTTAATTAAGTTTTACTGTTGTGATATTTATGTATGACGGGTTATTATACAATACACACGGGCTACTAAGAGTGGATGAGAAACAGATAAACACATAGTCACACTGACTTGTCTAATGTGCCTGACCAAATACCATTACAGAACTAATATGGCAGAAACTGTTGAGTTTACTTTGCTTAAAATTTAATTTTGCAAGTGTAACACTGGTATTTAAAAGTTGTTGGCACCAACGCATGAACAATTGTTTTGATTTCACATTGTTTTTGATACAGAAGCCATCTGGAAATTAACACAAAATTTTTTTTAAATCGCAGAAATAAAGGTCGTTATGCTCCTACGTCTAATATAACATTTGTTTTGTGAGGGTGAGATGTAATATTCATATTATACCATGACCTACTTTCTGTTGAGGATGCATATACAGTAAATAATTTTAGGGATGCTGTGTCTAAAACAATAAGACGTGTTGCTGGTGCTCTGTACATTTTGTGATCTCATTACATAATGAGTGTAGACCCCTGTAATGAATGTTACCACTGACTCGCACTTAACTTATTCTCACATTTGTTTTGTTTTTTTGTTTTTTGTGTAGGTGAAGGAGAGAAGCAGTTTGCCCTATTTTGCATTGCCAGGGTTGGCACAGAAGTACAAGATACAGCCTTACTTGATGCAGTAAACCCTAGCCTCACTGATGTTTGCTTTGATGATGTCCTTACATTGTAAGTATATTTATATTGCTCTATCGCCTAATATTCTATTCTTTTCATCAATATAACATGTCAATAGGTGTCAATAGGTGACATATCACGTATCAAGCATATAATTCCAAAGCATATATCTAACGTGTCTTTTATTGCAATTAGAGAAACACTTAAGTTTTTGTCAAGAAAACACTGGTTTATTCCCGCCCTGGTCTAGCAATGCGAGTGTGGGACGTGAGTATCTGTTTTAAGATTACGAGTCTAGCTCCGCCGGCTGTCAGTGGTAACGAGCCACACTGTGATCTGAAAAAACTGAAAGTTAGAATAAGGCAATTTATTGCTGATTCAGATTGCTTAATTATATTTTTTAAATCTTAGTAGTCAGTTAAAAACTGTTTCAGCAATGTGCATCTTATTTTGCTTATGTTCTGAAAAATGTAGTTATTGCAATCTAGCAAGCTCTGTTAATTACGACTTCCAAGTGACTGCCTGCTTGGCGTATTTGTCGTAGTATGCTGCCAATGCTCTATGGTGTTCTAATGTGACTACTGCCCCTTGTGTGAAGCGATGATATAGATCCAAACTTTCACCTGGAACTGGAGCTGTACAGTGTAGAGGCTGGCACAGCCGTGGTTGCAGAGAGCTTCCCGAGCAGGAAGACAAGATTCAGGTCTGACTCCTGGATCAGCAGAACCTCGAAGGTGTACATTAAATAGTTTTATCTATTATGAAAATTGGTATTATTTATGCAGTTGACTCAATGAGTTACCTAATGTCACATAGCAGCCAAAGTTTAAACATTTCATGAACAATACCAACTTTAGAATTTGTAATTAAAATTTTGGAAATTCGACAGGAGCTAATTTTGCCTGTTTTACCGACTACTTTTTTCTGGATCTGGTGTATCATCCTCTTCTGCCTCAAACCTTCTACTGCACATTGTGTGGCCAAGTGTTTATGTACTGATCAGCAGGCAAAATTAATGTTTAGCAGTTATTATTGCTATTTTGTGACATCTGACATCGTCTGCACCACTGGCAATCTGATAGTAAAAGCAGCCATATAACAAACATGAGTGTCTAACAAATTAGCATGACTTAACCTTTCTCATTAATATTTGCACAGGTTAAAGAAGATAAGGCGACAATGGAGAAGCACTACTCTACTGCAGACATGTAAATGAATGTTCATGTTATATAGTTCATAAAATTGAGAACTAAATTATTTATTATAGTTTAATATTCTTGAAGTCCTGCCATGCTTTAATCAGATGGGACGAACTTGTAAATTTTTCATATCCCTACTATATCAATCAGCCACTGTCTGTTATTTGTGTGTTAAATTTAATTTCCTTTTACAGTGGAGTCAATTTTGTGAAGAAAGCACACGCCACATTGACGTTAGAGGATGTACATGACAACATCAAAACACATGATTTAGTCGAAGACAAGGCTGTGAAATGTATCGTATGCCTTGAATAGTGTAGTCTCATTGAATCAAGCACTCGTTACATATAATAGTACCTTGTTCAAACCACGAATTTATCAGTAATTTTACTGGCAATAAGACGTGGCTTTCAGCTTTCATTTCTAACTCTGCCGTTTATGTTCTGTTGGTGGAAGGAGTATACCCAGTCCCTATATTTCACGCATGCCATTATTTTTTTATAGGTGCCAGCTTGCCTCTATTCGGCTACTTCTGCTGTCGCCTAGCAGTGCAGCCAAGCTTCAGCATGGCTGATGATGTTAATCGTAGCCACATATGTTTGCTCAGCAAGGTAGGTTGCTGTACAAATCAGCCTGAATTCAATAATAAGTTACCAGTTGAATGCAAGTACACGAATAGCTATCTTCATATACTCATCCTCTTAAGTTGATAATGATATTGGGCTGTAAACCTAGTGTAGAATTATAATCTGCAGCTGTATGAAATAATAACACTTCTCGAATCTTGACCATTACAGCTGGAAGGTATGGATTCATTCCCTACACTGCTGACCTGCTCGATCATGCCACGGTCGTTGGAGCTCAGAGAGGATCGGTCATCGTCAGACACGGACCAGTCGGACGCTAACGAAATGGCTACTTACTCCATTCCTCTAACAGTGGTACATAGAATCTTTTAAGAAAGCTTGTTCCTAGTGAGATATTTTTGCGGCGAGAGGCAGCAATCGCACCAATGTGTACACCAGCCGATTTCCATAACCATATCCAGCCATATCATAAACCTATACAATTTGCCATTTAATGGAAAAAGAGTGTCAAAAAGTCGGCATGTTAGCTCACTCGAATAACATGCCTGTGTGAGATGCTATTCCACGCCTTTGTTGATGTGTGCACAGCAGTGCAGCTTTAACTCTATTGCGCATGAGCACTAGTTAGCAGACTAAGTCTCCCAGCACCCCATTAAGCTAATATTCTTTGATTGCTTCTTCAGAATAGTGAAGTTATTGGTGTCAGCAATAGCACAAGTGAGCATTCGTTGCGATTTACAATTACCAGTAAAGAGAGTAACGGCACCCCCTATCTGCAACACACATTCTCGGCTGAAAGTGATGAGGCACGAGACACGTGGCTCGCAGTCATTGAGCAACGTATATTTGACATTGGTAGGAATATTGATTAATCGTAGATACTTTCGACACATTAAAATATTATTTATCGGAAACCATATGGTTATAGCACCTATAAATTAATGAACTAGAGCTACCACTTGAATGTTCTTTCGACGATATATAAGCTATGTAGTCATTGTTGAGATTCTTTGACTTGTAGTTAGAATGATACCATTTGTAAACTTAGATGTTTCTCACAATACATTTTTTATGGAATTTGTCCATATTAATGATTGTTTCATTAGATTTTCCATTATAATACATTGTTCTATATTAATGAAGTTGAATAGACTATTACGCTCATTGTTGTTATACAGGGTTCTCTCAAAGCTTGTAGCATACCGGGTCTGACATGTCTTCAAAGCTGAAGCTAATTTGCAACATGTCTTAATTTCCAGCCGTGCACTTTTGACAATCCCAGTACAGTTGCTTTGTTTTCTCAGCTTGGTGTATGCATCTCTGAACTGATCGTTTATGCATTGGGCTGGTTACAATGCACATATTTTACTCCAACTAACAATCAGGAAGGAACTGCCTGATCGCTTGACATGCATTCTAAAATTTCTTGGGAGAACCCTGTTATATTATGTGTTACTCAGCATATATTCATCGGCATGCATTCACAGGTGCGTGGGGCTATGCAGGACAGACACACATATCGATGCCAGAGCTCGCCTCAAGCTACCCTTCCTCTATGTGCAGAACAACCTCGCTGTATGATGACACGTCTATCAATAGTATGTTACCATTTTCTCATCTCTATTGAAGCCATCGCAATTCGCATGACAACCATGTCTATGCACCATCGCGCATATGCACAAATATGTTATTCTTATGTGCCTGCTCTAGTTAAGTGTTGGTTTTATTGTATTAAGTATTTTTGCCATATTCATATTGGTGTTAAACTTGTGTGAAAATACTTTCATCTAATGCACTCGAATGTACCACTTACTGAGTTGTCTGCAATTTAGAAAAAATTCAGGTTATAATTTAAAAACATATGAATGATTAACTATACACGGGTATGGTTATACCAGTTACATGAAATCCGCAGCTTTAAACAGTGACTAACTCTGTACATAGGGACACCAGTTAAAGTGGCAGATCCTGTTGATAAAGTGGCACGCAAGTTCATTCCTTGGACTCAGGAGTCTGCTATAGGACAGTTAAGCCATCCACGCTCGTGTAGCAACATCCAACAGAAGACACAGCATGAGCAGCGGGACACCAGCGCACACAGGGATCCTAGAGAACTCATCGTGAGCAGAGAGACCACACTTTAAATCATAATCATGTACATTTCATCAGTGAAACATGTAATTTTATAGTTGCACGTTAATGTCAGTATTGTTTGTCTTATAATAATTAGACACGAGCTTTGTATAGACACAGTCATCACGTTTTAGTGCCGTAGCTAGCCGCGGAGGGAGAGGCAAGTAGAGCAGTTGCCCCCCCCCCCCCGAGAAATGTAAATACATTACATGATCAATGGTGGTCACCTTCCCAGAACACAACACACACGTGGCTTTGCCCTCAGGAAACATGGGTTAGCTATGCTACTCGATTTATTCAGGTGGCCATTCAACAACCCATGAGAAATTGTCAATACAGGTAACACTGTCTTTCAGTTGCAATGCAATTTTTATACAAGTTACACCACTAACCCTGAAGAACTACAGTAGTGTTCCTTTTACCTATCATTCTTAAATACTTGTAATATACTATGTAACTAGAGCACTCGGAGAGCGCAGACCTCCGCCAAGGCAGCTGAATAATTACTGTGGAAAATTTAATTAATTAGCTGTGTTTCCATTGGATGTCTGCATAAAGTAAGATCATGGTACAATTTTCCAAAGCAGGATCCTTTACCGCAGGGTTTTTTCAGATTAGTTGGTTGCAAACGAATAGTTTTGCTACTTCTAATATCTACGCAAAGCAATTGACTATTTTTGATATAAAATTTACATCACACTGATTAATGAACTAGCTTCTAAATACATTTTTACTACCGTACACGTATGTATTGTTAGATGTAGCGATGCTAAATAAATCAATAGTTTGTATGACATAACTATGAGTAAGAGCTATTATCATTTGAGTCTATATGTAATTTACATTTAGCATTTGCAATTGCGATGCCGATGGGCTTGACCAAAGCAAGAAGCTCAAGTAACGATCACCACCGCGGGTTGATCACACTTTACAAAGTCTCAGAACGAAAAGCTATCATTTATGGCAGATACACCATTGCTCGACTTCTAAAACGTTATGACTACAGGCAGCAGGCAAATCATTTGACTATTGGAGCTGTTTGTGTTCATCATGAGCTCATTCAGTATATATTTTCAATATGCCGCTGGGTCAGTTTTTGACGTTATTTTGAACTGCACTGCAATCATTTTGCGAGATGCATATAAAAAGCCACGTTATAACTTTAATTAAACATAGGTTCTTTCAATATTTTTACTAATTACCGTTAGTTTTAAAAGGTAATTTACTCTACCAGCGTGCTAGCGGGTTTTTGTCTCGTGAACATATAGTACAGAAAAAACTGCGTGAGTGCGTGTGTTGGTAACGCGCGTGTGTGTGAGTACTGCGGCTTAACCATACACGCACACGCACAGTCGCACACCATTCATGGTTTTTTTCCAGTACTGTACAGCGTGTTGCGTTGTATCGGAGTATTTGGACGCTCCACCGTCGCGAGACGCGCGCAAGCTGCTAAATTTTACGTTTCTATCGTATTTGGCCGTGCCATCGTATATGGTACCCATCGTCTTTTGTTTTGTTCCACCTCAATTAATATCTGCCGATAAGTTTTATTTCTTATTTCTTTGCATTTTCTCGCTAACCCATATGCTGAATATTAACGAGAACGTGCATCTTTGAGAAGAGCGGGATGAGGAGGAAGAGAAGAGCGGGATGAGGA